AATGTGGGGTGCAAAGCATCCTAGGATGCTGGGGGACTGCAAGTTAACTTGAATCTGGAGGGTATGTGGAACATAAGTTCAATAAACTGATTTAATCTAAATCAGTTAAGTCTGGTACTACATCCATCGAGGTTCATTTTAAACTGGTTTTGACCATTTTGAAAGTGGTTTACATACACGGAACTTCTGTTGTGTTACAGATTTGAACCAGTTCCCAATCGCTTATACCGGTTTGTGTGTAATTTCTGTCCCTCGCCTCTGATTTTACTTCACAAACGTGCAGTTGCATACTTATTCTTTGTAATAAATCTGGAGAGGAAAAATACAAAAAAAATTTGTAATGGTAGTTACCTAACAGATATTGTTTTGTGGTATTAGAGGTTCAAATGTATTAACCCAGCATACAACTACAATTCCCATGAAAAAGACAGTATCCCCAGTATACCTACGCATTATTGAATTATGCATTGGGGAAAAAGGAAAATAAACATGGGGTATGCAACAGCATATTGCCACAGATTGTAAGGTGGTTGTTGGAGGGAGTATGTAAGCTTGGAAAGTTTTCCTTTTGGGTTTTGTAGATGTTTATGACTGGACACACAAATCTCCTCTTAGTCTGGGTGGTTCTGTGTATTGTTTGCTAGTTGGTGTTGACTTCTTTTGTTCTCTGCCTGGGAAACTGATAAGATGGTTCCTCAATTTCTCAGAATGAAATACAGCTTGTTAGAACAGGCTCCATGGCATGTTGAATATAGCTGATGAGTTACCTGGAGTCTCTTGGGTATGATATTCATATTTTTGCATCTGATCAGGAAAGATGTCTGAGCATACCTGATCATGTTTCTTGTGTAGATTCATTGCAGTTCTTTTCATTCAGCTGAGTGTGATGCCATCCATGAATAGAAAGAAGTACTTATCTGTGTTAGCTTGCAGTCAGACAGAAGCCAAGGGAGAGTAGCACCTTATAGACTAATATGTTCAGAGTGTTACAAGCTTTCACAGGCTGCAGCTTACAGTCCATTCATAGCATTTGACAAAGTAGCTTCCTATGGAAGCTCAAACTTCTCTGAATGAGTTAGTTTATGATGGGGGTGGGCAAATTCTGGTCTGCGGGCCGGATCAAGCTCATAGTGGACTCCATTTTCCAGTACCTGCTGCATGCGTCACTGGCCAGTTTCCACAGAGACCACAGAACCAGCAGGGCCCTGACAGAATGGGGCCAGGGTTTCCATGTCAAGGCATGCAGCTGGCTAGGGAGCTGCCCCAGGGCCAGAGTCAGGATCTTGCAGTGGTGACAGCACTGGTTTTCATGTAGCCAGGGTAGAGCCTTGATCTGCTGCCTGCATGCCCCTGCCTGAGTTGTGCAGGCAGCAGGTCACAGTTCTGCCCTGGCTCCGGCCTGCTCTGTCACCACTGCAAGGGAGCAGCTCCTTGCCCAGCTGCCTACCCTGCCAATGCTGCTGGTGCCAGTCTCCATAGAAACCCTGGCCCTATGCTGTTGCACCCCACAGTTCCTGGAGTCTCCATGGAAACGGGCTGCAGCGATGTGGGTAGGGGCTGCTGGGAAATAGTCCAGCCACCAGCTGGATCCACCATTTAGCCCACCCCTGATTTATAAGGTGCTACTCTGCCCCACCTTCCTTCCGACCTTAAACTAATCCTGATAACTACCTCTGTCTGAATTTACATTTTTCACTTGTATTCAATAATTATGTTAAATATCTATACTAAATAGGCTAATAGGCAAGGGAACTACATTAATCTACCATACTTGGTCACTTTTATATGAAACATAAGGTGTACAGTGCCTGTTTTGTTTTTGTATTTAATTTATTGATATAGGCTATTCTTGAAATAATGGTGTGTATTCATGTATTAAAATACTAACAGGAGGGTCTTTCACAGTGTCTCAGTAAAACAGGATGCTTTGAGTACTGTGTAATTAATTACCCCTCCGAGACATGATTTTATGTGAAGTAGATTTTCCTCATTAGATTACCATTTCATGACCTTTTATTTATCATAAATAATAATCTTCAGTGCTTCCTAGACAGCGAAGAAAAACAAAGGTAAAATCTTCCATTGTTCTCTGAAATAAGCCTATGGCTTGGCAGAGGTACAGAGACTCTTGTAAATGTGTAATTCAGTACATAAAAGAAAGTCTCTTATAAAGCGATTCTCCCAACCCCCACCCCCTGCAACACGTACTGAAATCTTAAATCTATTGTTAATAATTGTATTTTTATTGCAAAAGATTTGCTGGGAAAATTAATTGATTGTGGTCTTTTTATATCACTGGTTTTGCTCATGGCGGATGTTCAAAAGCAATCTTTATATTGAAGTTAGTTGACTTTCTGAAAGTGCTTGTGTAGGTTCTTTTTTTTTCCTTCCAGCCTTCTCTCTTCTCCCATTAGGTGGCCATTATCCCTGCACTTCACCTCTGCCATGGGGAGTATGGATGAATGGAAGACTGGTCATTAGGAGCTGAGTCAGCCCATTCTCTTCAGCCACTGAAATGTCACTCCTTAGATGCATATTCTGCATCCTGTAAAAGGAAGCAAAACTGTCTTCTAGTTTCACTATGACATTTCAGAAGGAAACAGTTGTCATCTTTGCTTGCTATGTTATGGCTTTCAGTCACAAATGACAAATAGAAATAGAGGATTGTAGATGTTTGTCCACTGCTTTTCAAAGCATGAAGCAGCATACCTTGGTGTGCAGAAGAGGTTTGTTCTGCTCTCCACCCCATGAGTTAAAATGATGATATGATCTGATTTATATTTTTGTTTATAAAACATCAATAATGAATGAGCCCATTTCAAACTCTTTGGATAATAAAAAAAATTGCGCACATCTCGATATGTACAGGCATACCCTGGAGATATTGCGGGTTCGGTTCCAGACCACCGCAATAAAGCAAATATCGCAATACAGCGAGTCACACGAATTTTTTGGTTTCCCAGTGCATATAAAAGTTATGTTTACACTATACTGTAGTCTATTAAGTGTGCAATAGCATTATGTCTAAAAAAACAAATGTACATACCTTAATTAAAAAATACTTTATTGCTAAAAAATGCTAACCATCATCTGAGCCTTCAGCGAGTCATAATCTTTTTGCTGGTGGAGGGTCTTGCCTCGATGTTGATGGCTGCTGACTGATTAGGGTGGTGGTTGCTGAAGGCTGGGGTGGCTGTGGCAATTTCTTAAAATAAGACAACAATGAAGTTTGCCGCATCGATTGACTCTTCATTTCACGAAAGATTTCTCTGTAGCATGCGATGCTGTTTGATAGCATTTTACCCACAGTAGAACTTCTTTCAAAATTGGAGTCAATCCTCTCAAACCCTGCCACTGCTTCATCAACTAAGTTTATGTAATATTCTAAATCCTTTGTTGTCCTTTCAACAATGTTCACAGCACCTTCAATTTGTAAAAAACGCAATATCTGTGAAGCGCAATAAAGCGAAGCGCAATAAAACGAGGTATGCCTGTATATAAGTCAGTAAAATCAATTGAGCATCACTGATTTAACCAAGCTTGTCCACTGCATGTATGAGATGTATGTATGCATCCTTAGGTCACATAGGAGTCCTATACACATGCAGGGAGACTGTTCTGACATGCTGCAATTCCAGTGTATCAGAGCAGACTCGATTAATCGAGTTTGCTGGAGCATGAAAATAAACATACTCCAGCAGCCTCCAGTGTCACGTGCATCAGCGTCCCTGCACTGAAAAATGGTGGCAGGGTGCTTTAAACTAAAGCTCATTCAACCAGTTTCAAGTCAAAGCACTCCACTGCTATTTTTCAGCATGGGGACGCTGATGTGCATGATGCTCCAGGTGCTTTTACTTAGCATGGCTCTCAGACCTGTGCTAATTAAAGCACCCCACCCCTTATTCCTCCCAGAGCATGTGAGTAATAACTGTGTCAATCCTAGTAGAACTACAGGATGTGTATGTATAAAATCAGTATGGTATGTAAGCAGTTAGCAAGGTGAAGGTCCTGGAGTTTTGGGTGCCAAAGTATTGGAAATCAATTCACTGTCCATCTGCTGCTTTCCTTTTTGTTCCAATATTTATGGTTTTAAATTCCTTTCAGTTTGTCATAGCAAAACTATAGCAAGTTTTATATCCAAAACATTTTGAAATTTAAATAAAAATATAACAGTTTCTTAATGGTCATATAGTGAAAACATTCAAGACAGTTGAGAGAGAGAGAGATCATAATATATGCCCCCAAAAGGCATACGTCTATACTTGTAGGAGTAGTGACAGCTAGAAATGTGTTTTATTGCTTAATTTAATTTTTTTGGTAGCTAATACTACAATATGAATATAAATCAAGGGCACTGGCTTTATCATAAATACAAAAAGCAAAATAAGAATACTTAAATATGCAAAGAAAATATCTACTTTGCAAACATGAAAAATTATCACTGGGGCATGGGCAGAGGCCAGCAGTTTAATAATGTGGCATCTGCTTTGCTTTATACTTTTGCCAATAATGCAGTTTCTGAAACATTTTTCTGCAGGGTTTCAGTTCCTAGTCTCATTATTTATTATGTTATTATATTTTAATTATTATATTTATTATATATTGAAGAGAAATTATTTACTAAAAGCAAAAAAACCCCATATTTAAATTGAAGTCAGAATTTAATTTTGTTAGCAAACTCTGGATCTTGGTTATCAAAGTAGTAGTGTTTTTTAGATGTAAACTCTCCAGGATTTAAACTGCATTTGCTGTCTTTGAAATACAGCACAGCAAAGCCAAAAGACAGGTTGAATTTATTTTACAATACGGTGGGATATTTGTGTTGAGATACAAATTGAAAGAAAGAGGAAGAGAGATTAGAAAACTGTAGAATTTGTCAGCTAGGCTAGTGGGAGGGTCCTTTTGTGATGAAATGTTGCATAAATAATGCCAATGGGGGTCTAAATTCACTGTTGCCATGGAGACCTTTGTGCCTGACTGAACTCTATTCTTTTCTGTTTTAAGACTGCAACCACTGGGCTGGTAGTGGCTCTAATGAATATCATTTTGTGTTTTATTTTACTGTAAAAGCTGGAATGCTGAAACCAAAAAGAGAACAGCGCCGTTTGGGGTTTCCTGAGTGTTCTGATGGTCTACAGAATTCTCCATTTAAAATCTTTGAAGTTTCTTTTTATCAGTGATGAAGGGAAAAATGTCTAGACCTGCTTGAACTACTGCTTTGGAAAGGAGGGAATAATCTCTCTCCTCAGCTCTGTTGAGGAGACTTCTTGTTTTCTTAAGGATTAAGGAAGAATAATTTTCAAAGTGTAAAATCAAGGTAAAAAGTTAAAAATAAATCAGTTTGGGTGTTATTTAATTTAGTATGAACTCTGCTCCTTTGTCAGGCTTGTTTAAAGTTTAGTGAACTGTTTTTGTTTTGGTCTTGTGTTTTTTTCTGAAATTTGATATTGATTTGATTTAATGTGTTTTGAAAAAAAAAAAAAAATCCCCAAAAACAACAAAAATCCAGCCCTACAATCATTGTTAAATGTCCATTGGTAATGGCTTTCTGGTGTTCTTTATAAAACTGGGTATAAGACAAGGTTTTCAAACTTTTAATAAGCAAAAATATTTATTGCGAGTGCCAGCTGTCTTGGTGAGTCCAACTTCATTGAAATGGTGTGTGACTAACCGACGTTTACCTAGCTTTTTCAGCTACTTTTGGGAAGCAGAGGGTAAACTTAGGAAGAAAAAACTGTGACGTTTAAGTTACATAAAGTCCTATAAGTAAATGTTATTTTTCTAGTAAAGTTAACTTGGTGCCTAGAATGTGTTTTGTCCAAAAAGTGTAAATAGCAATAGCAGTTTCTTTGATTTGTGGTTTTCTTTGTTTCAGATGGTCTAAAGTGAAGTTCCAAGGAAACCAGTTTATCAGCACAGAAATCAGATAATTTAACTGACTAGCTCGTTTGCAAAATACCTTTTTCATAATTGAATTTTGAGCTACAAACCTGTTGCTTTATACATTTTCCCTAGATAACCTTTGTTCTCAATGACTGCTTTATACTGTAGTGATGTGTGTGTTCCTGGTTCTGAGTTCATACAGGTGACAATGAGAGAGATACGTTCCCTCCTATAACTATCTATGTCCCTTAAGATGCTAGTGTCATAGATTAGAATTTTATTCAGTAAACTTCAGGTAACATGAAGCTTGTTATAGAAGTTTAGTGACATCAATGCATGATTATAATCTAGGTTTTACATATACTGTTCCAATCATAGGAAAATGTGAATGACTTCTCACTAGGTTAAATAAACTAACTTATTATGAGTCTATACATTTATTATGATAATTAGTCTTATTAAAAAATTCTAGCACCCTTTGTTTTCAAGTTTTGCCTGGAAACTCATGCATGGAATTCTTAAGGGGAAACTTTTATTTAATGGAAGAAGGCTGACTTCAGATTAAACTCTGAAGATGCAAAACAAAACAGCACACATCGTTGTATACCCCGCACATTATATTTAGTCAAAAGTTAAGGTGCCTACATAGCAAAGACGGTAAGGTGTCCTTCATTGAAAAGCTATCAAGTTCCTTCTGACTGAACACACTTCAGGAAGGCATTAACATATAATTTATAATATATACAACCATCTTTGTTAGATTTCAATTATGAGTTTAAACTGTACAAAATGTCTATAACAAATAAACCATCGTAACTCTTTATTATTTTGGTTGGCTAATCTCAAGAGCAAAATATTTCTTAATTCATTCTAGTTTAGTTGTTGAATTTTATGCTAAGTGTTGTTAAAAATGTGTTCCACAGTATAAAAGAAATGTTAATTTGAGTGTTCCAGTTCTTAAAAGTGCAATAACGTTATATTAGACCTGTTACAATACACCTTTTATGTGAAAGGTGTTTAATTTAATGCTTTATTGAGATTCTATATTTAGGTGTTTCCCAGTCAATTCAGACCCTTTTTAAATCTCCCTTCAGAACTACTAGCAAGTTTGATTTCCCCAACAAAGGGAGACATTAGTCAGATTATAAAGAACATTGATAACTACTTATGTGATATCTGTGGGTTATCAGAATGGATATGCTGAGGATGCCTCAGATTATATATTGTAGAATGTAATATTAGTGTTTTTAAAACATGTCTGTCACCAAGGATTATTTCATCAAGTTTCTAATTGAAGCATGATATATTATTGTCAGTTTCTGAAATGAAACTCTCCAATGTTTCTATTAAAAGCAAAACAAAACAGTATAAAAGCCATATTTACTCTTGGTTATAAAAAACAGTCATGTAAATGAGGTGGTAGAGAAGGCATGTGAAATGTTTGGGGACAAAACAAGACATGGAGTTGCTTCAGTAGTTAAATATATTTTTCATTTCTGATTTTCTGAATCAGGTGTGGGAGTGGCGGAAGCAAATCAATGAGTGAGGTCACTCACATGGTCTTATGCCAGGGGCTCTGTGTGTAACCTTAGTCAAATTGGAAAATAAATACTTCAAGAGGTTGAAGGTTGTTGATAGATTGCAAATACATTTATAAATTGAGGTATTTCATGGTTCTTTGCATGCATATCTATATGTATTCATGGCCTGGTACAGACATTACACTTTTACCAGTATAAGTCATCAGAAACCAGAAGACAGAACAGAAGTTTGGCATACCTAGACTTGTTTAAAAATGGCAGAATCTGGTCTAAGATTTTCACCCTCCCCACACCCAACCAAAGGGCAAATGTATGTTTTGCCCGTCACTACCAATCTAAACTACAGCTTTCACAGAAAACCACATAACTTAGATTGATTCCCCCTCAACCTTTTGAATGTCTGTGCCTAGCCTCTTGCTACACATGATGGACTTAAGGGGTCAAATTTATCCCTGGTGTTGAACCAGGAATGATGTCAACTCTGCATGTGTGGATTAATGGGTAAATCGGGATCACTTTGAAGTTCATGGCAAAAATAATGATCTGAGAAGTTTATTTAATAATAAAGGGTCACATTCTTTTCCCCCCCTCAGGCTATAAGTGCTTCATTAGGTTATAAATTATTCACAGTAGAGACTTTTTTTCCCCTTAGCACAGTGGGGCCTTAATGCTGATTGTGTCTTCTGGGTGCTATGTATAAATATTAAGTAACCAAATATCCCAGTACTTCTAAAAATGGTTAGCCCCTCCTGGGGATAATAGATATCTCTGAACAGATGTGAATCCCCATCCAGCAGAGCATGTTTGTATGCTGCTACATACATGTGTATCTGGCTGCCGGAGCGATCATAGAGACCCATGGATGTGAGATGTTTTGAGCTGGGAGATTAAATCGATAGATAGATATCTATGGTGTTTTCTGCTAAGGCTGAGTGCTGTGGGAGAAGGGTGGTAGAGATTCTTTAATGTTTAATTTTAAAGTGTGTGTAAGTAGGTAGATAGAAAGACAGAAAAATAAAGATTTTTTTTTTTTTTCCAGAAGTAGATGGATGTTAGGCATGCTCATATTGCCCCACAGAAGTGTAAGGGCTCCAAGTCTACTAGCTGATCAGGAACCTTTCGTATTGTATCAGGGTTCTGACTGGGATAAAATGGATTTCTCAAAACACCATTACATTCCACCCCCTCTGCATGTGCCCTGTGCACAACTGTGTGCACTCCACAGCAAGACAGACCTAATTGCAAACCAAAGGACCTTGATATTGTAATGTTCTTAAGCATCTTGAAATTTTGGTGACCTGCTATCACTGTGGATGAATGTGGGCTGGCAGCACGATGCCAGTAGGGCAAATAATACTCTGGCATGCATCAATCAATGCATCTCCAGCAAAACCAAGGAGGTGATTCTTTCACTCTACTCAGCACTGGTGAGACTACAACTGGAATACTGCATCCAGTTCTAGGCATCACACTTTAAGAGGACATGGACAAGCTTGAGAGAATCCAAGAACAGCCACCCATATGATCAGAGTCTTACACGGCCATCTGTATGAGGAAAGGCTGAAGGATCTGGGAGTCTTCAGCCTCAAGGAAAGAAGGCTGAGAGGGGATCTGGTAGCAGCTTACTGCTACACTAAGGGAGTATATCAAGGGCTCAGTGAGCAACTGTTTACTGGGGCAACAGAGGGGAAAACTAGGAGTAATGGCCACAAACTCCTTTAAGATTGATTCAGGCCCAACATTAGGAAAAACTTCTTCACAGTCAGGGTGTCCAGACTGTGAAATAAGATCCCTGTAGAGGTGATGCAATCACCTACCCTACAAATCTTCAAGATGAGACTAGGCAGTCATCTTGCTGGGGTCACCTGACCCATTATCTTTCCTGCTTGGTGCAGAAGCTGGACCTGATGATCTTCCAAGGTCCCTACCAGCCTTACAATCTATGGATACTTTCATTCAGTCAGTCAAACAGGCAAACCAAATTATGCAGAATATGAGTCCTGGTCTTAATTTTACTGTATAGCCCTTATTTTATACTATTGTCTTTTTAAAATTTTTTTATTCTGCTATAACATTTCATGTGGAAGCTGCAGAATTTAGTTTTAGAAATTGTCACAGGTAGTGACAGCTGGGGTCTTTGGCACCAGGTAAAGTGTGATTAGTCTTTTTACAGATTGTAGAATAAGCACATTAATTGGCTGTTTCTGCTAAAATTATCAGTACTGCAATTGGTAACATTTACATTGTTCTTGGGTTCAAACATTAAATAACCCTTTGTGATGACTAGGTCAGTTCAGGCTGTTGTTTCAGGTTGTCTGTGACTTGGGCAGATATCACTCCATTGGTTTTAATTTGGTTCACATTTGGAGGGTTTCCTTTGTAGCTGTGAGAGTCAAAAGCTATTGTGTGAATGGAAACTTGGAATCTGACATACAGTTCTGTAGCCAAGGTTCGGTTCTGTGGCAGATTTGGAGGTTCTGAAATTGAGGCCTCCTCCTCGGATGACTGGAGGACGGTGTCAAGGCACCTGAAGCTAGAAGGAGATATTAGCTTTAATTGTGGGGCATGTGATTGCTCTTCTGTATCTGGTATTTCTCTGCTTTGCCTCTTATGCCCTGTGATTTAGCCCCAGCAATACCAACAAGAGGCAGCAACTGGAAGTGGACATTGGCCAGTTGGCACATAAGTGCAGTACACGACAAAGTCTAGTCAACATAACTCCCTATGTGGCCTGTGGTCCCAAATAATTGCCCACCCCATGTCTAAAGTATAGAGTAGCTGCATTCTAACTGCATAGATTGCTTATACTGGTGGAGCATGGGTGACTTGGTTAGCAAACAGTTTGAGGAGCCATGATGGGAGGGTCTGTAATTGTTCACATTGGTACCTTTCT